ATCAGAGCATCATATCATCATATTTGTGCCTTACTTTGTATTGCTTTGTCTCCCAAATAAATTAAAATGTGTGGCTTAGCATAAAGAACACTGTTTTAAGGGAGAGAGACGTGAATTTTAGTCTCAGTGCCTTAAGAATGTTTCTGATGAGACCCCTCCAGTTGCCTCAGGGATTCTAAACTTTTTTTCCTCAACCTTTACTTGAAAGACAATTTGAGATACAATCCTCAAACTGTTCTTTGGACACAGGCAGGATATAAATTATAAATGAATTCAAAATAAATAACTGATGAAAAATAAACTGTACTCAGAAAAAAATATAAAAGGGGATTCTAGAGCAATAACTTAGACTTTGCTGATTGGTAAGGAAAACTGAAAAAGCAATGGACTATTCTATTTTGTATGTAATCTTTAATTCTATGCAGGAAAAAAACTAAAAATAAAAAAGCCCTAACATAAATATTCTGGGTCAGCTTGGAAGGACCACACTTCAGTAGATAGAATTATGTCAGACTATTGTAGATTGATTAGCTAACTCTTTAGAACAATCCAGTCCCCTTTACCTTGGAGTTTCTCACACTTGCCTGATCATAACAATTACTTTAGCTTCTTTGGGGATTCTGCTTTGGTGGATCGGGGCTGAGACGCAGAGATCTATATTTTTAAGAGGCCGTCCTGGGAAATATTTAGGATCAGGCTGGTTTGAGCAAACCTGCTTTACAGTGCAAGAACCAGTGATCTTCCAATGGTAATTTGATTCCTGAGATTCTTTGTAACTAAAAAAAAATTCTCTTCAGCTGTCACAAGAATTCTGGTCTGTTTGATAATATTTCAGTGGGAAAAAAAATCTTGGTAAATCATTTTTAGCTTCATTTGTGTAAATGAGCACCACCACCCACCCATTTCACCTCCCTCTAGCTAAGTGCCCTGTGTAAACCGAGAAAACTGTTCCTGAAACTACAACCACGTCAGACTAGAAGTGACCCTACCAAGAAAATCACTTTTTGGGTTTGATCTGAAATAGTTTACTGACTTCTACCTTTGCATTTAAATAGCTCAGTTTTTTTAAATATAAAAACTGAACAGCAGTTAAGGAGTACTTTAATGTAAACGCATTTTCCATGTGCAGTCTCCCTAGACCAGAAGGATGAAAAGGTGGATGGCGTGGGAAGTCTCCCTGAGGTCACTTCCCAAAACTCAGCAAGAGAGCTTCACCCTCTTCTGCATCATTCTGCACCCTCGCATCTACTTTCCCACAAAAGATTCTTTTGCTGTTCGTCAGCTTTCTATTCTTTCTAAGCTTCCTCTACCTATTTACAAAGCTCCTTTTCAGGGAGTTTTAGCCATTTGTCCTCCAAACATGTTGTCCCTTTACAATGTTGCTCTGTTCCTCTCTGACACTGCCCCTACCCTATGTTCTGCCATGTTAAAGTGACTCCTAACAAGTATTGTAAGGAGTAGATAAGCACCAAATACTATCAGAGGGAGTATTATCATACTTTGTATTTGAAATCATAAAATCTTATCTTTGCTTTCTCACAAGAGCACCATTATCTCCATTTTCCACATGGGGAAACATACTCAGAAAGATCAAGTGACTGGCCTCCTTCAAATCAGTAGCAAGCCTGGAACTGGTACTTACTTCTTGTGTTCTCTAGTTAGCCCATGTGCCTGTCATTAAAATATCATTTCATTCAAGAATTATTTACTCTTTCTTCCAGGTCGTTAATAAAGACATTAAACAAAACCAGACCTCACACTGACCCTATAGTCAACACATTGCCCTGAGTCATTAGGACTTGTCCTCCAGCCAGTTCTCAGTCCACGTGACAGAGCACTTTGCAAAGCCAATGCTAATTAGGTTGGCAAACAAGATTTATTGAGATACTGTATCAAATGCATTACAAAAATATATGTGTGTTAAGGTACATTCATTGTGCTCACTAAGTTTTTAATTCTATTGAAAACACTATCAAGACGTCTGGCCCTATTTGTTTTTATAAATCTGTTCTTTTACAGCAGAGCTCTTCTAGCTCTTTTGATTCCATTATCCTCTCTCTCAGTGTTTCAGTCTTAACAGTGGTTCTGTTATTTTTTAAAAGGATTGATTTCACAATGGGAATTCGAGTACAGATTCCTTATTCCAAGGTGATTATTAATAAAATTAACAATAATTAACCCCATAAAAGAGAATCTTGGGCATCTTAGTAAGTGTCTTGGGACCAGAATGCGGATTTCTGATTTCCAGATCTCCTCCCTAGCACTAAACAGCGTGGTTTCAGGGCCAAAACTGACTGAGAAAGAGCTCAGAGAACTCTTGGAACTGTGTCCTCCAAATGGAGCAGCTCCCATTCACGTCTGATATTTAGACTTGTTTTTCTATGGTTTCCATTCCATTATGTTTAATTTTTTGTCCTAGAATTCCTTTTACTTAACTACTACATACAAATCTTTGTTGATACACTGTAAACTTTACCTACACATTTTTTACGTGTTTAAGCCATTTATTTTATAGAATTCTTCTGTCTTTTAGTGAAAATTTGAAATGTCATAAAAGGCAAGGAAATTCCATTTAAACCAAAGTCAAAGTGGTCTCCTGATGACTGCCCTAAAGCATATTTTATATGAATGGAAATTGGGTCAGCTAGGAATTAAATTAACAACCACCATATTTCCATAACCACAATTGCATAACCTTATGTCCAAGATATTCGCAGCTGAGGACTTTACCACTGACTTGCCAAAATTGCTATGCACATACAGTTTTTGGCCTGCTTTAGAAAAGGTCCCTTCTGGGCGAGCTTTTTATTTTTATTATTGGTCTGAGCCATTTCACCAGGACGATACGCTGTACATATGTTCTAAGTAACACGAGTTTTAAAATTGCAATAGCCATCAACTAAATGGTCATGCTGGAAAACAGTAGGTAATATAAAATTGGGGTATCACGTATAAAGCTCTCTGCTAATCAGTGGAACTCCTCATTGGAGTGAGAGCAATGACATATCTAGCATTTTGATTTTTTAATTAGAAGTATAATAAATGATATTATAAAGTGTTTGAAATCTGCATGGAAGAGAAACAAACTACACTTCAGCATTAAGTAAGGAGACCTTATACATAAAGGGATCCCACAACTTTAACTATATATTCAGAAACATATACATAGGAATCATTTTATATGTGAAATTCTATGAACTCATTTCTTTATATTGCAAGCATAGCAGCAATTATGAATGCATGTTCAGTAGTATCAATTAATATTAAATTATATTTACATGCAAGAAAAATGCATGATTCAGATTTGAAGAGTTGCTTGGGGGGTCCTGTTCTGATGAGTTTGCCTTTATGCCTCAAGGACATTCTACACAGGCAAGTTTACAGTTGTCCTAGACTGAAAAAGACCAGGGTGCTTTATTATTAACAACAAACGTGTGTGTTCCTTTTAGGATATCAGCTGCTACAGGAACAAAGTTGCAAACTGTTTTCTGGGGTTACTCCTATGTGGCAATAAAATAGCTTTCTCTAAACTGATTCTTATGAGTTTGTATTATGCCATCATTTTTATTGTGTTGAAATATACAAATTAAAAATTCACATAACTATTTTAAATGCAAACATAGTAATTTCATAGATATTGATAATATCAAGACTTGATTTGGAATATAATTTACATACTTAAGTAACATGGTTTCACATTGATTAATTTTTGTTTACAAGTTTCATAAGGGTACAATATGGAAAGTGACTACATTTCATGTGTTATGAGTAGAACTATCTTATGAAAAAGTAAGTCCTAATATTTTTGAGCATTTCTTAGGTTTTGCTCAGTGCTAAGTACATTACATACATATCTTGTATCATTTCATCCCCACAACAAATCTCTGAAGCGCTCTATTATTATCCCGGTTTCACAGATGAGGACTGTGAGGCACAGAGATATTAATTTGTCCAAAGTACCAGCCAGAAAGCAGGATCTTAATACAAGCAGTCCTATGCAGAACTCCTCCCTGAAATTCATGCTACCAGAAGATAATGTAGGTCAGTAGGTTAGTGGTTCTCAGACTTGGGCAAGGGTCAGCGTTACTAGGAGGGCTCATTAAAACACAGATTGCTGGGCCTCACCATTGGAGTTTCTGAGACAATAAGTCTGGTCTGAGACCTGAGAATTTGCATTTCTAACAATTTCCCAGGTAATGTGATGCTGCTGGCCTGAGGCCCACACTTTTAGAACCACAGATGTGATTCTGGAAGTCAGGAAAATTGAGATATATATGGTGGAGATTACAGGAACTAGAGATGCTACCGTGTGACTGAAGAGAGAAAAGGGGGGCAATGGGACACTAAGAGAGCAAAGCAAAATGTTCAGGTAGAGGGAGTCTGGGGAAGAGGAAAGCCAGCTTGGGGTTTGTGCCAACTTGCAAGTCTGCGGTCAGGAGGAGAGGGCAGGTAGAAAATCCTACTAGGAAATAGAGGCCAAACCCAAGGAGGAAACTTTAAAAAGGAACATTGAAAGAACCACAGTAATGTCTGCTTAAAATCTCAACCCTGGGAAAATATTTGACTTTCCTAAAGTATAATGATAGAGCAAACAGCAGAAAATAGTGGCAAAGGCATCAATCTAAGAGGCAGGAAGTGACACTCAGCCCTAAGCTGCTGGATCCTGTGGCCGTCACTTGCCCTCTCTGAGCTCAGTCTTCTGGATCTTCATCTTGTTTCTTCTGGTTCATCTCTAAAGCCCATTCTTGCTTTAATGGTCTAAGTTTAAATTGAGAGGGGTAGTGGGTTATGACTTTCCAATATATTTGCTTTACAAATCTACTTCTCTCTTTCATCTATGTTGCTTATAAATTGATCATCCCATTGCCCAGTCTGAGTTAGAACAGAGATCTGTGAACTTATTAATGATTTCTTACTCAAAGAGGTGATGTTTACATTTGTCTCTGGTTTTGGTTTGAGTCTTTAATAGCACCTCTGTTAAATTGCGATTTATTTTTTAGCAGCCAGAAAAGAAAGGATCACCTAATGTTTGATGCTTCTTGGGCCTGCCTTCTATGTGGAAGTCTGGGAAAGCCGTCAATATGGTCAATGGGAGAAGTGAGGTGAGTCAAGCTTGTTTTCTTTGTTGTAATTGATGGAGGCCACTTGGGGGCATGTTTCATTTGCTCTCAAATTAAGATGGCATGCCATGTCTCCTACTCACCCAATTCTTTGTATTAAAGAGCCAAAGCACTTTTTTAGATCAATAGGAGAGGGAGTTGAGTTTATTTCCATGTCTGGGTCTCGGAAGACTTTAGGAGAGGGATGTCTCAGCCAAGGGACCTGCAGAGGAGCATTGGGGTGCTCACATTCCTCTTGATGTCACTCCCGTAGGTGTCCTCTTCTCACCTAGGGTGAGGCCAGTAATCCTTCAGTTTCTATTTCTGTGCTATTTTTAACAAAACCCCAAAAGTGTGTGACAGTGGGGCTTGAGCCTGCCATTGAGTTTCTCAACCAGAGCCTCCTGTTTCCAGCTCTATGTGGAATTTCTAGTATACAGTTAGTCAGACTGAAGATAATCATGATGGTGATTTTGTAGGACATACTTTTTGTAGGACAGGGAATTTATAGTACTTTCCATTTTTTGAGTATAAAAACTATGATCCAAGAGACAGAAAGTGGCTTACTCTAGGTCATCCAGAGAGATGGCAGTAGAAGCAAAACTAGAACCTGGATCACTTGTCTTTCATCCAGGAGATCCACTTCTCTCTCAGACTTTGCTACCAGCAAAGGTTTTCCTGTCATACTATTTCCCACTTGCACACACACTCACACGTGCATTTGCACACTTTCACATACTCATACTCATTACTGATACACTCTCAGGAACACCAGAACACCCTCATCCCAATGTGGCCTGCTGCTGAAGGCCCAACTCATCTACTCAGATTCCTTTTACTGGATCAAAGTGATCCATATAGGATTTGAAATCTGAGGTCAACACCTAGCCAAGGGTTTGGACCAGGACTTGGCCTGCATGGAAGTTTCCTGGGGAGGCTCTGACTCTGGTTTTTCTAGTGCTAGGTTAAGTGGCAGACAGTGGGAAACAAACTTTCACGAGAAAGTGGCCAGAAAAGGCAGGATTCTGAGATCAAGTGGTCAGAAGGGAGTTGGTGTCCAGGAACCAATGACAACAAAAGTGAATTTTAAAGACAAGAGTCCAGTAATTGAACAGTTCCACATTCCAGGAACCAAGTCCAGGTACCTAACAGTGAGGTGGGCAAAGGAAGTGGCTGGTTTTGAGGTTTCTCTGGTATCAGAGGATGACGGGGGCGAGGGCATTGTCCCACAGTTCGTCGCTAACCATGAGGGAAGACGGTTTGGTTGTAGCTGGATTTTACTGGCCTTTTAACCAGGTGACCCTCTGCCCTATCTTCTGTGCCAGCTTGTGACACCTAGGGTCTTCACCTCTTCCTTAGACAAAGGAAGCAAATGTGACTGTAGCTGGGTTATACAGTGGCAAACCTTAAGGAGCACTAAGATGTTATAATTGATTCCTTTGTGGCAATAACTATAGGTCCTCCTCTCCCCCAGTTGGCAGTCTGATAAGTGTCGCCCAGGTAAGATGGGGTTTCCTGAAGGTGCCCTGAATTCTCCTGGGCAAACAATGAAGCCTCTCAGGAAAGCACCTGACATCTGGTATGACAACAATCTAGACTATGTTCTCACAGCCTCCCAGAAGCTGAATGTCAGGTTTATCCAGACTTGGATCATGATGATCACTGTACATGGCTTTTAATTAATCAACAAATTAGTCAACAATATGCAGATAGGTAAGATAATTATGTGGCATATCTATTACCTTCTCTTTATGTAGTCTGTTTTATGTCTAGGTAAAGTGGGTGGCCACAGGCCAGGTGAGATTTAAGCAGTACAGGGCAAGAAAGGACAGTGCTTCAACTGTAAATTCCACCTACTGTCAGGACACAAACATGATCTACTATATCCAAGGGTGTAACTATTCCTTTACCAATAATAAAGCCAGAAGCTTTTCACCCTACTAAGAATGTATTTACATTTCATCTTGCAATACACTTTCCTAAAAACATTTTTACTAAGAGGCTACAAAAAGGCAAAAACAGAACGGCCAGATTTCATGCCAGTCCATATGCCAGCAGTGAGTTTGCAAATGCGGAGTCCTCAAGTTTTGTCAAAAGAAGGTACAGACCTCTTAGAAATTAAAAACAAGTACCATTTCCTCGTGGAACTTGGCTTTTATTCTAAACCCACAACTGGACTAATTTGCCAATGAAGGCTTTATGTTTTAAAACTTGAAAGGGAGAAGTAGACTAAATAAGTTATATCTTAGGATTGACCTGATAGCCTAATTGTTATCGCCACACAAACCTTCACTTAAGGTTAAATTATGATATGGGTCTTCTTTGATCTTTCTACATCAGTTGGATGGTGAGTCAGTTCTCAGTGTTTACTTTGTATCATGATAATAAAAATATTGTAGCAGTTTTGTTTTACTGTTCAGACCTTCTCAAAGAAGTAATCCTAATGCCAAATAAGTAATCAAAAACACCAAAGTGCTTTGCCAGTTGTTCACATATCAATCACAAGAAAAACCTATCTCTAAGAGAATTACCTCTCTACAAGTGAATAAAACAGCAATGAATTGTGGAATACTTTTTTAAATGCCATGTTAAATCTGTACAACAATCAAACATGTAATATCATGTTTTTACATAGCATTCGGTGGATATAATTTTTTTCTAGGGTTCCTGATAAGTTCTTGTTGCAACTCATATTCACTAATTTTGTTTTGTTTTGTTTTAATTTGCCAAAACATATGCTACTGACCATATAAGGCAAAACGGCCCTATGTGTAGAATCCCACATGGCAAACGCTTGCATTTCAATTAAAACCAGATCTCTTGACAGCTTTATGCATCTGAGCCCCAGCCATATGAGGGTAACTCTGTCAGCATGCCCCTCCCCACTCTTGATCAGTGTAATCACTTCTATTCTTAGCACTTATTTCTATGAAATATGCACCTTAGGTGTTGAAGGAAGGATTGCTGGCTTGTCAGAGCTGCAGCCTGCTGCGGAGTACTTTGTGTGGGCTATGAGAAGAACTTTCCTGCCTTCCTTCCCAGCTGTGCACCTCTGAGTGGGAGAAGGTGTACCCCAAGCTTATCACTCCCCTTTGTGCTCTCACACTAAACTAGGAGGGCTGAAAAGAGGCAGGCTGCGCTGAGAGATATGGAGGCCAGTTTGTTCCCGCTGAGCAAAAGAATAGCACAGAAAGGAGACCAAACAATTGTTCCTCTTACATTGCCTGGAAGAAGACAGAGGCCATTAAATGAATGAATCATTCTTTGGGAACTTCTGTACCAGGCTGATAACTGTATTTGAGTCAAAACTGAATAACTTTAGGGAGAAAAGAATCTGAAAAATGTTGGGTAGAAGACACCAGGGGAAAAAACCTTAAAATAGCAGTTCATTTTTATTTGCTTGTGATTAACTTGGAATATGGTCATTTGATGACTTCCAAGTCTGTTTAAATGGTGAAAAGGCATTTTTCCAGTATTTTCAAACCAACAAAAAATAGGTATTTATATTTCTACACTAGATTGTGGTTTAATTTAAATAGTTTTAATTTTAAAAAAAACCTATTTTTTATTAAAGTCCATTGCTGCCAGAATCAATCAGAAGTAACATAAGAATAGATGTGAAGTGGGGCATCAGAATTTTCATTTGGGTTAAAAATAAAAGAATAAACAATTTTTAGTTGCAGGAACCACTGCTGACATGTTTCGTACCATCTAAAGCCTGGGAATTACATTACTACTTATCCTAACTCAAGCTTCCCATACATCTTAGAAATCATCAAGAAAAACCCCAGAGTCTCCTGGTTCTAGTTACTTCAAGGATATGGCCATTATTCATTTTGTTCATTAAAGAGCCTAAAATTAAAGAGTCTAAAATACAGTTTCTGCAACAGTCGAAAAAGGTAAAAATGCCTTCAATTTTTCTTAACTCCTACAGTTTATGTTTGAGTTCCTACATTTCAAAAAACTGTAGGAACTATTTTACTCAGCCCTAGTACAGAGGAATCAAAATATAACATAGATTACTGTAATGATTATAAAAGTGTCCTTAGACTTAAATAACACTTTTTGAAGAAAAATTATTATAACTCAATTAGTTGATTGAGTTTGCCCTGGTAGCTGAAACTAAGTTTATTTTTGTTGGAATACACATAACTTTTAGAAATAGAAAGTTTCACTTGCTTTTATTATTAGATGGAATAACATACTTTGGGTTCAAGCTGTTCATTTGAAGACCACTTTTGTCTTTCTTTTTAGAGTAAAATTTTTTCCAGATACCCTGCACCTGTTTTCACAACCATGCCATAGTCAGAACATTTTCTTATGCTTAATATTAGTTGCTAAGCAGAATATATTTCAGTACACCAGATGTAAAATTGTCAATCAAGCAAACAATGCAAGTGTTTGGTAATCTGATAACACCTTAAATAACAGCCATTCTCTGATATCCAGCAATCAGTGCTAGGACATTTAACTTGAACAGAGTCATGCTTTTTATTGTGTGAAATAAGAGATGTGATGAAAAAAGTCTGAAATCTTAATGTTTTCCACTGCTTCATTGGGGTTCTTGTTTGAGTCTTTTAATCCCTTTATTGAGAGCATTCTGTCATGACTGGCCATGTTCACAAAGGTAAAAAAGGTTTTATCAGCAGCAGACAGGATTCCTCTCAAATACCAACAGAATAGAAATTGTTTTATAAAGCACGTTTTCCCTTCATTTTACTTAAGAAAATATGAGGTCCAACCCAAGACTCTTAAATTAAAATTGTTTAGTGACTTTTGTCATTAAATTCTTTGATTTAATTTATTTACTCTTTCCAAATATAAAGCAACATGCGAAGGATGTACTACATTTGTTAACTCTGGTTTTAAGTAAGGGCTGCTTGGTAAAGTGACAGGAGGTCGGGTAAGGATTTGGCAGAGATTTTTCATCCTCAGAGTCAGAATGGGAGTACATGAGCTTTTGTGAATGAGTGCTCCTTGAATACGGATTTTGAATGTGCCTT